CACCCACCCTCTGGAACGAGCTGCCCCCAGAGATCCGGGTGATTCCGGATCTCCCCTCCTTCCGCCGCGCCCTCAAGACTTGGTTATTTCAGCGGGCAGGACTGGCCTAGGGGTATTTTAAATTGGTTTTAACAAATTTTTTAGTAGAAGCGGCCTAGTTAAATATTTATTTTTAATCACTTTTAAATTTTGTATTGTAGTGTATTATTGTTTTTAAACTGGCTGTAAGCCACCCTGAGTCCTCCGGGAGAAGGGCGGGGTATAAATTTAATAAAACTAAAACTAAACTAAAACTAAACAAATGTACTTATCTTTCATAAATATGCAGACCTGAGGGTCACACCGAGGCTAGTGCAGACACAAAGATTGTACTGAGGCTAGCACTGGCATGAGACTCACGCCAAGGGTCACACCGAGGCTAGTGCAGACACAAAGATTGTACTGAAGCTAGCACTGGCGCGAGAGTCACGCCAAGGGTCACACCGAGGCTAGTGCAGACACAAAGATTGTACTGAGGCTAGCACTGGCGCGAGAGTCACGCCAAGGGTCACACCGAGGCTAGTGCAGACACAAAGATTGTACTGAAGCTAGCACTGGCGCGAGAGTCACACCAAGGGTCATACAAGGCTAGTGCAGACACCAAGGGTCACACCAAGATTAGTGTTTCTCATCCTTTCCTCTGGTGCTTTGGAGAATAGTTTGACCCCCTCCTCTTCTTTGAGGCAGCCCCTCAGATACTGGAACACTGCTATCATGTCTCCCCTATTTCTTCTTTTCTTTAGACTAGCCAAACCCCTGCAGCCGTTTTTCGTAAGTTTTAGTCTCCAGGCCTTGAATCATCTTAGTTGCTCTTCTCTGATTTTTTTCCAAACTCTCAACATCTTTTTTGTGATGTGGTGACCAAAATTGGCTGCAGTATTCCAGGTGTGGTCTTACTAAGGCTTTGTAAAGCGGTATTAGTACTTCATGTGATCTTGATTCTATGCCCATGGCTGGCTGGGGAATTCTGGGAGTTGAAGTCCCCAAGTCTTAAAGTTGGAGGCTGGGGAATTCTGGGAGTTGAAGTCCCCAAGTCTTAAAGTGTCCAAGGTTGAATACCCCTGCTCTACATGGAAAGAACGTGCCGCATCCCACAAGTTATGATGCCTTCCCAGCTCATCTTAAGGATCTGTTGCAGGACCGCACCCTTCCAGGGCCGTGCCCCCATCTCTGTACCTGCTGCCTGGGCCACTTCCACTCCTCAGAACTCCACCATCCATGAAATTGGAGCTGTTGGTCCAGTTCGCCCGTTCCTCATCCCTCTGCCAGCTAAAGTACGCCTCACTAGCAAAGAAATAAGGCAATTGGTATCTCACATCATCATGGGTCACCACCATCCTTCTCAGCATCAGCTAGACACAGGTAGAACTCGACTTAACAACAGTTTGTTTACTGACCCTTCAGCATTACAACGGCCCTGGAAAAAATGTGACTTATGACCAATCATTCACACTTGCAGCGTCCCCCAAGGCCGCATGATCGAAATGAAGACGCTTGGCAACTGGCTCGTATTTAGGACGTTTGCAGCATCCCCAGGTCACGTGATACCATTTTTGTGACCTTCTGACAAAGTCCATGGGGAAGTCAGATTCACTTAACAACCGTGTTGCTAACTTAACCGCTGCAGTGATTCCCTTAACAACGGGGGCAAGACAGGTCGCACAATGGGGCAAAACTCAGTTAACTCACTCACTTAGCCACAGAAATTTTGGGCGCCACTGTGGTCACAAATTGATGGCCCACCTGTAGTGAACACTATTTCCCAAGACAGAGGAAAGCTGAATCCTGCGCGGATGGCTGCTGGGCTTCAGACAACCTTTTTTTAAATAAATACTAAGCTGTGGAATATGTAATGGGCAGATCTGTTCCTCCTTTGAAAGGGCCAGCTGATTGGAACAATTCTCCTCTGGTGGGTCAAACCCGTTCAAAGGTGTTCAAACCCGGTGTACAAACCCGTGCAAAGACACGGTAGTAAATCAGATTGGAGGACGGGAGGTCTATATATATATATCTTGTATCTTAGGATCCCGACCTTCCCTGGGGTCTCCAGAAGATCAGGTTGGGGGACGAGTTCCGTCCTCGAGAATATGCATCCTAGTCAAACGGTTCTCAAATCTGTTCTTGAAAACTTTTTCTCTTCTATTGGAAAGCACCGATTTATAGAAGCTTGCCTAACTCGTTCATCAATGCCTCTTACAGGATTCCTTGCTCCATTCTTTATGGAGCAAAGTGCTGGGTAGCAGCTGCCTACTTCCTAAAAAGCTTGGGGGTAGGAGGTCTACTCAGGTCCAAGGATCCATTCTTCAAAATAAAGATTCACTGGAAGTCGAAACGGCTTTGTAGCAGCTCAGTTTCAAATTCCTCTTTAATTATAAGACTCTTGTTCTAGTGTAGGGGTCCTCAACCTTGGCAACTTTAAGACTTGTGGACTTCAACTCCCAGAATTCCTCAGCCAGCTTTGATAGCTGAGGAATTCTGGGAGTTGAAGTCCACAAGTCTTAAAGTTGCCAAGGTTGAGGACCCCTGTTCTAGTAGGTAAGAGAAAGTGTAGGTTGAACAGTGATGGCAGCTGGCCAAAGACATGGCTACAGCTCACTGGCACTGATGGATATTATGGTCTGGATTTGAAAATCAACACAGGGAAATGGAAACCAGCAACAATCTCACCTGAGTCAGGTGGGCTGCTGCTAGCAAATCAGTTATTTGTTTGTTTGCTGTTTATTTAGCTTATGGCATGAATACGTGGATAGCAGCAGCAAAGATCTACGGAAAGAACGCACCATAATATGATATACATAAAGTGGAGATGCGTGGTCAATTTTGCAAGGTAAATAAGCCAATCTCCGCCTAGGTGCTTCTGAATTTTGCAAAGCGTTATCCTGGAAATGCTCGTTTTTATGTCAACCTGGAAGGATGCGGTAGTCTTTTCTTAAGCCCAAATGATGCTTCTTACCAACAGAACATGAGGGCAACAGAAGCTAAGAGTACTATATTCATGGCATCGCGAGAGTGCTGCAAAACTGCATTTGTGTCCTCTGGTTCTGCCAGCCATTTCCCTTGCGATGGCTGTCAACCTTTTTCCCAAACTGTTCTTAGAAGCAGGTTGTGCATAAAACAGGGAATATGTTTAATTTTGGGCTCAGAACAAACAGCCCATTTGAAACTTTCTGTCCAAAGAGTTTAGATGGTGTGTTCTGTCACAAATACGGAGAGTCCTTGACTTACAACAGGTTGTTTAATGACCATGCCAAGTTAGAACGGCACTGGAAAAAAGTGACATATGACCATTTCTCATACTTATTACCGTTGCAGCATCCCTGTGGTCACATTATCAGAATTCAGATGCTTGGCAACTGATTCATCTAACGCCTTTCTAACCACTGACCACGTATTCTGCAGCAGTGCGATCCACTCCTTCAAGGAAGGGATGGTGGGCTTGTGGGCTGGCAATTCAGGCATTGGGTTGAAGCTTTATCCTGTAGCCAGCTGGAATGGGGTGTAGCCAGTACTAGAGTGCACTACATTGTTATAAGCCACCTCATCAAAAGGTAGTAGGCCGGTCCAGTTATCTTTTGGGTAGTATATAAAAGACCTCATGCATTGCTCTAGTACTGAGTTTGTTCGTTCTGTCCCCCCATTCGTTTGCAGATGATGACTAGGTGAGAGGCCTTGGACGGTACCCAGTAGGTCCAAAAAGGCTCTCCAGAACTCTGGTTGCAGCATCCCAAGGTCACGTGATCCCATTTTTGTGACCTTCTGACAAGCAAAGTTAAAGGGGGAAGCCAGATTCACATAACAACAGTACTACTAATTTAATAACTGCAGTGATTCACTTAAAAAAAGCTACATGACTGGAAACAGGTACATCATTCATCCAGTATCCATCCTTAATTGGTTTTAATTTTGCTCAAAAATTTACACAGCAAGGAAAAGCTACATATAAAAAAATACATGCAATTTAAGAGGAATCGTGCATGGAAGTGCATGAGGTAGGAAGAATTGCAGGAAAAACAAATGCCGTTTTTAAAGAAATTTTGCAGACCATCAGGACAATCTAATGGTCAAATTCGTATGATTTTAATATAATAATAATAATAATAATAATAATAATAATAATAATAATGATGATGATGATGATGATGATGATGATGATGATGATGATGATGATGATGATGATGATGATGTTGGAAGGGACACTGGAGGTCATCTAGTCCAACCCCCTGCTCAGGCAGGAAACCCTATACCATTTCGGACAAATGGCTGTCCAGTCTCTTCTTAAAAACTTCCAGTGTTGGAGCATTCACCGCTTCTGGAGGCAGGTTGTTCCACTGGTTAATTGTTATAACTGTGAGGAAGTTTCTCCTTAGTTCTAGGTTGCTTCTCTCCTTGATTAGTTTCCATGCGTTGCTTCTTGTCCTGCCTTCAGGCGCCTTGGAAAATAGCTTGACTCCCTCTTCTTTGTGGCAGCCCCTGAGATATTGGAATACTGCTATCATGTCCCCACTCGTCCTTCTCTTCATTAAACTAGACATACCCAATTCCAGCAGCCTTTCCTTATATGCTTTGGCCTCCAGTCCCCTGATCATCTTTGCTGCTCTTCTCTGTACTCTTTCTAGAGTCTCAACATCTTTTTTACATCGTGGTGACCAAAACTGGATGCAGTATTCCAAGTGTGGCCTTACTAAGGCATTGTAAAGTGGTATTAATACTTCACGTGATCTTGATTCTCTCCCTCTGTTAATGCAGCCCAGCACTGTGTTGGCCTTTTTGGCAGCTGCAGCACATGGCTGGCTCCTGTTTAAGTGATTGTCCACTAGAACTCCAAGGTCCCTCTCACAGTTAGATACATATAGTAACTATTCTATGTTTTATGCTTGAAGACAGAGTTCCCCAACATTTCCAGCTTTGCAGACCAGCAGAGCGGGGGGGGGGGGGGAAGAGGGAATCGTTCCGCATGAGTGGCTGGCAAGCATACGTTCAAGCAGCGTTATCTGCGCAAGCAGCGTGCATGTGCACCTGCCTCTCACTTAAATGGAGCATGCACGCTCGCTCGCCTGCTGCTCGTGCAAGTGGGGATGCGCATGTGCTGTTTCGGCGGCTTGCTTGGAAACCCCTCGCGGCCCACTAGTGGGCTGCAGCCCAGAGGTTGGGGACCCCCTTTTTAAGACATGATATTCTGAGAAGAGCAATTAAGCTTTTGAACAGAGATGAAACATGTTGTGGAATTGCGCAGCAGCTGTCCAGATGCAATCGGAGACACTAGCACAAACTTGTAGTGTTTTAAACGTATAAATATATTTTCCATTTAAATTTCTAGGGGTCTTTGTTATCATCCCGAGAGAAACAACACAGGATAGTCAGGAACACAGGAACGTCATCAAGAGGTATATTTATACGGAACACACAGAAAAAGGAGAGAGAAAAGGGAAGCTCCCCCTTTACACCCACAGCAACAAATCACAGTGTAGATTGCCTCATGCATGAGTCAGCACTAACTACAGGTAGTCCTCGGTCTACGACCACAATTGAGCCCAACATTTCTGTTGCTAAGTGAAGCCTTTGTTAAGTGAGTTTTGCCCCATTTTATGACCTTTCTTGCCACAGTTGTTACGTGAATCACCGCAATTGTTAAATTAGTCACCCGGTTGTTAAGTGAATCTGGCTTCCCCATTGATCTTTGCTGGTCAGAAGGCTGCAAGAGGGGATCACATGATCCCGGGACACTGCGACCGTCATAAAGATGACTCAGTTCCCAAGCATCTGAATTTTGATCACGGGACCAGGGGGATGCCACAACGGTCATCAATGTGAAAAATGGTCATAGGTTACCTTTTTCAATCCTGTTGTAACTTCGAACAGTCACTAAATGAAATGCTGTAAGTCAAGGACTTCCTCTAATCAACTACAACTGTGCGTTGTGGCCTACTGTGCACTTTCCAGCTACTAAATTCAACATCCTAATGAAACAATAACTGATATTCATGCTGCTAACATCGGATGTTTTTGCTTTGACAACAGTTGGAGATGCAACCATTTTCTTCTTATGTTTTACTTTTAGAGTTAGATGATGCTGGGGGGGAGAGGAATGTGCATGAGAGTTTAGCTAGACATAACAATACTGGACTTAGTGTGAGAACCAAGGTTATTGAAATAAGAGATGATAAGAATTGGCGGGCTGGAGAATTGGAGGGAGAGCCTGCATTTCAAGCTAATTGGAGAATGTGATTTATGACAGCTAATTGGAGGAGGGAATTGTGTTTTGATACTATGTGCTCAGGGGAGGGGAATCCAGTTTTTGGTTTCAATTATGTTAGTGCCGATGCTATGCTACTCAAAT